GAGGTGGTAGTGGTGTGGAGGTGTTGGACAGTGGTGTTATGTGTCTGGTGGAGTGGAGTTTGTGGACCAGGCCAGTCCTTTGACAATGGCATGGTCCGGGTGGATCACCCAGCAGCGGCCCTTCTGGTGGAAGACTGCGCCGTGGTGATCGTTAAGGAGGTTCATGGCGTGTTCCTCACCTCCGGAGGTATATTTTGTGGCGGCACCCCAAGCAAGGAGTGTGATGATAAGGGAATGGGAGTTCTTGTGGAGTTGCCAGGTGTTGTGGATGATGCGGGCAAATTCGTTGTGATCATGGGGTTGGTTGTGGGTGATGCGGACACCCTGGGCAAAAAATCCAGGGTAGTTGGCAAAGTGAAGTGTGCTGGGTAAAAATCGACCTTGGCGTAGAATGTTGGCAATGTTGCCGACGGGGCCTGTGTGGCCTGCGTTGATGTGGGCGACTTCCCGGTGGGTTGATGTGGCTCGGGAGACCGCGGGCGGTTCTGGTGTGGTGGCTTTTGTGTTGAGGAAAGGAAGTGAAATGGCGTAGTATTGGAATTGGTCGTATTGGTGAGTTGCGTCGTTCCACTTGGCGTGAGTATATTGCCAGAAATCGGTGATCTCCTTGTAGGTGATGTTGCAGTCTGTGAGGAGATTGGCAATGTACTGGTGCTGTGGTCGGTTGGGGTTGTCGAGTTGGGTGGCGTGGAATTCAAGCCATTCCAGGAGTTGGTCTGCAGGTGAAAAGGTGTGAAAGTTGGGTGGAGGTCGCCAACGGTTGATTGGGCGACGAAGGATGGCTGTGGTGGGAAATTGAGATGGATCTGGGTTGGTGTGTTCGGTGTTGGGGCGTAAATCGATGGGTTGTGGTGGTGAGCGACTGCGGGATGGTGTAAGGCTGGATGTGTAAGTGGATGTCGAGGGTGAACGGCGTCGCCGGGTTGCGCTGTGGTGCTTGGAGCGGTGGTGACGTCGATGTCGGCGGCGGTGGTGGTGGCGTCCTCGGCGGTGATGGTCGGACTTGCGTCGGCTCTTGTGGTGGTGGCGGCGACTGCTGTGTGGTGGCTGTGGGGAAGGTGGTTGTGGTGCTGGTGAGGCGGTGGTGTCAAGCTTGTCCGTTGCGGGTGGTGAGGGTCCAGGAGCTGGTGTGGCTGATGCAAGGGATGGTGGTGCGGAAGGTTGGGATGCAGTAGCTGGAGGGGTCGTGCTTTGGACCGGCAATGAAGGGTCCGCGGCGGTTGTGGGGATGTGTTGGATTGGTGGTGTTGGATCTGATGGCGTCTGTTGTGGGAGTGGAGGCTGGACTGGTGGTGAAACGTTGCACAAACGTCCAGGTGGACGGTGTGCCGTAGGTCAGTGCAGTGGCGGTGGGATTGGACAAAAAAGGTGGTGGTTGAAATGGTTGTGGGTGTGGGTGAGGGTATGCCGATGGTTGTGGCGAGGGGAAGGTGGGTGCAGTTGATGGCTGTGGCAGCGGCCATGTGGGTTGAGGTTGTGTGGTAGGTAGTGGTGGTGGCGTGGCGTGAGCGTATGGCCACGGAAAATGCATGTCGTGGTCGTAGCTATGGCACGGCGCGGCGCAGCAGCAAAAATGCAGCGGAGAAGTGCCGAGTTGTATTGTCATGATGTTGTTGAAAGTCTCATCTCTGGTGTTGATGGAGAGTATGTTGTAAGGTGGTGCTAGATGTGAGCTTGTTGGTAGGTGTGTGTTCACGCATCTCGAATTAGATTGAAGAGCTCTAATGCCCAAACTTGAGTTCTGCTGATGAAAGAGTCACGGCATCGATATGGCAAAAAGTGGAAACAGAAACATGACTTGGAGAAGTGAACATGACGGATTCGAAATCTGAAAGCTGATATCCGATGTATTCTTCAAGAACCGTTTTTTGGCCCGGCGGCCGGTATGTCAGTTGATTCTGTGAGGGTGTCGGTGCCTTCCTGTGAGAGTCCAGTGAGTAGTGGTGCGTTGTGGTGGTTGCTTTCCCATGCAAGATCAGCGCCCCTGTGACGGGGATCACACTCAGCACCCGAGTGGGACGGCTGAGCGGGACACACTTCGACACTGGTTTTCGGTTAAACTCAATTTCTCCGATGGGAAGGAGGGTGATGGAACGGCATGGTGAAAGGTCCGAAAACTTGAAGGTGTTTCAACATTGAAAGTTGTCATCTGCAGAAACACGCAAGCGACTGCGGTGAAAAGCTGCAAATAAACGCGTGGCTGCTGCAAGTGGCGGAAAGGAAAAAGGTTTGGGGGAAGTAACATGAACCACCATGGAAACAAACAGCAAGAGTGGACAGCGTGTGCAACAGTTGTTCGGCAGGTACACACTGAGACGTCTCTCAGTGCTTCCCCTGCCACATCCCAGCTTCGTTGGGCCAGGTTGGATGTGACAGGCCTGGCCCCCCTGCCTGTGAAAGGTGGTGGTGGAAAACCCTTTGTCCAGGGGTGGACACACACACACACACCCGCACACACACACACATGCATCAGAGCACACATGTGTCCCAAATGAGAGCACAGGCACACTCATCACAGACTCACAAATATTGTAGGCAGCTATTTGTGCACCTGCTTCAGCCGCCTGATGCAATGCCGACCAGCGCATGGAGGGCTGCACGTTCACAAGGCCCGGGGTCGCCTCGGCCATTCCGAGACGAGAAACATTGGTCAAGGGTCGTCCCCAACCATCGCAGGATACAATGTCAGTTGCAGAAAATTTGGTCACTGGAGTCCATCAACTTTCCTACGAGGATTTGCTTGTGGACAGGACAGAGGTATGCATTTAAAAATAGTATTTGATGCATATAATGCACAAGCAGCTTATGGCTCTGATATCCAAGCTTGCATCATGTTACAATCCCCCCAAACCTTGGCACTCTTCCCAGGAACTCTCGCTATCCGGTTCTCCGAAGGCTCCAGATTTGTTCTCTGATGATCCATGACATCATGAATCCATGAACTATCAAGTCACGGAATC